AATTTAAAAAATGCTTCAAAAGAGGTTTTTTATTATGCAAACTCTTATTTTGATCTTAATAAAAGTTGTTCATCAGATCTTTCTGGTTCTAGTGGTAGTAAAATCATTAAAATCTGACCAGCAGTTCCTAAGATATATATATCTGAATTTAGTTACCTTTTATTTACTTTAAAAAAAACCATTGATCCGATTTTAATGATTTTACTACCATTAGAACCAGAAAGGTCTGATTAACAACTTTGATTAAGATTAAAATAAGGATTTACTTAATAAAAATACCTCTTCTAGGCACTTTTTGATATCTGGGGGTGGGATTAGCAAAAATGGGTGTGAAAATAGCAATTCTCTAAGTATATTATTAAGTATATTACTAAGGTGATGTTATTTTGAAATGTACAACTATGATATTGTTAGAGAATGCAGCCTAGCGATACAAATCAAAGTCATTAATCGAAAAGTTGATCAACTTGGCAACTAATGAATTAAAACTTTTTAAGCAACTAATCGTTTAATGATTATTTGTTTGATAAATTTTGAAAAAAAAATTTCTAACCAATTAAATTAATATAAATAAATAATAAGATTATGTAGTTGGCCAATAAAATTAAGCAAAAAACATGTGACATTAGTTTACGAAAGTTTATTAAAAAACTTTTGTTGATTCGGATCACTAGACTGGCCTTATCTAACTTAGTGTGATGCGCAGAATCCCATCATGAACTCTTATTGGACTATGTCTCATGCGGAATTTGAGGATATAATAATAGATGTTGGTGTCTGAGGAAACATTATTCGAGGTGGATTCTTAGCAAAGACTCATCATGTAATTGTAATTGTTTTATCACAAATATACCAAGCCACAGCATTTTTAGAGTCACCAAGCCAACAAACATTTGAATAGATCTTTTTGTTTTTTCAAAAAATTCTTTCGTATTTCTTGAAAGAAAAAACGAAATTTCTTAGATTAAAAAATGTAAACTATCAACAAAAATTTCATGAAATTTATAAAAATTAGTTGAAATAATATAACAAGATCTATTTTTAGTAAAATTATAAGTGATGCCACTACCTGTAAAAGACCATGGAAAAGGTCATGGAAAAGACGAGGGAAAAGACCATGGATATTCGAGACACGTCATTGGAGTGATATTGGGAATTCCATTATTGTTTTTAATAACAATTTGTCCATTCCTAGGTTCGTTATTTTGAATTATATATAATCAAATATAATTTATTATTTAATATACTGTATGTCGCGATAACGATAATGAAATTTTAGAATTTATAAATATTCAATATTTTCAATACATTCCCGGTAAAGCCAAATTAGGAAAATTTATTGTCGAGAGTTTGTAAGTAATGATTTTTTGAATATATTAACGTAAATCATATAATATTGTATATCTATTAACTTATTAAATAGTTATTTTGCTTGCACACTTTGGATACCTTGTACGTGATTTTCTAAATTCATTTACTTTAAAATGTTTAATTCATACTGTAGTGAAAATGTTATTTTTTAATATGAGGTCATACTTTTGTATCCTGCTTATGTCATTGTTGTAAGCCGAAAGTTTTAATAGACGTATTTAAAGATACCGCATGGTATTTATTTACAATTTCAATCAAATTTAATTTTATTACTGTATTAAAATAACGTACTTAATTATTTTTATGGCAAAAAGTTACGTCTTTGTATGGTGGATAGTTGCCGCTAGTAAGTTTTAAAGTAAACATTTTATTTATACATTTTGAGTAATTTTCTCTTAATACTTTTTATTCATTGATTAGGTATTTATACTATATATATGGCAGCATTAGATCAAGACGAAATCCACAAGATTCCATTCAATTGTCCAACTTCATACAATTACCAATCTAAGTTTATGCACTCAGCATGTATAATAAGATTTTTAAACATGGTTTGTATGTGGCTATATGTTTTATTTGGTATTCTATGGTATAGTGCTGGTATGCTTGATTATTTGCCGAGAAAAGAGGATATGAAATGGTACAATAAATGGTTTGCCAGCGAAGAAAGTTTGGAAAATGGATTTATAGCTAATCAAACAGATGTGGTAGAATGGGTACAATCAACCAGAAGAGAAACCTTTGCAAGATGAATGGGAATGTAGTTGTTAATTGTAAAATATATCTTTCTAAATTATCTTAGGCATGCAAAATATATATCTTAGTGAAAACTATTGAGAATCACTTCGGGTTTCGGAATCTATTATATATTTTTTTTATCTGTCTACAAAAATGATAACCAATATCGCTATAAGATCAACTAGTGTTTAGTTAATTGTTAATCTAGTACTGTACATAGTTGGCTCGTCGAGCTTAAGCATGTCGATAAATGGAATAGTTATTTTATTGGACTATTGACCTGTCAAGCGTAAGTAAGCTTAGTGGAGCATGGATAAAATATTTTTTTGGCACATGAGATCCAAACTTCAATTTTTGTAATAAAGTCAATTTCAGATAATCTCGTCTTGCGAAACGAGATATTCTGAATTTCAACAAAGCCATTTAATACGCAGCGTTTAATCTAAAAAATAAATAGTTTACAGTACGAGACAGCATATTAACTTTTTCAAAAACAATCAAATAATATTTCATATTTAATTTAATTGAAAAAGTATTTTAGCCAAAACGTTTTTTTTATTAATATAGTTACAGTTTGACTAAATTAGGTTTTTAAATTATTATATTTGATTAAAATATAAATATATTTAGTTTATATCATTTTATCCTTATTTTTTGTGTTACATATATTAAAATTTGGCCGCTTTATTTAAAAGTTGTTAGGACTTGATGTCCCATATGGTAAAACTTAAAATCTGATGTTTTATGCCTAACGCTAACAAGAGATCGTTTAAAGCCAAATATATACGTACACTATTCAATTACCCAAACACTTAAACCCTTGACCCTCATATGTACAGTACCAGCAGAAATCACTTTATTACTAAAAGTTTAAATCATTATAACTTGATAGATTTTTGTATAAAGATATCAATATACGTATGTTTAACTAATCAGAATCAATTACACAATTTAAATTAGCCAATAAAAATTGGTGCTCTATCATATAAATTGGATGCTGTTCCATCCCTCGGTATCAATTTCAATTCAATTTCCCTTTAACAATTGACACAACTACGATATCGGCTTGATGATTACACAAACCATCATTGAGTTGCTTCATATTAAAAATTTAAAAAAAAAATTATACTATTTCACAAAACCTTATTAACTTTTTTATCATTCTATTTCTCTATCACTGTTATAGTAAAATATTCTTAATTTTCTAGAGAAATGTTGCTAGAGCTTCCTAATGAACTAATTCTCGAAACCCTTAGTGCTACGTTTTGAGAAACTGTGGTATGGAATCAAACATATATAGTTTATTATTTATTTGAAATTATTTTATTTGCGAAAAGTAGAAATTTTTAAACAATCAAGCTACAAACGATAAATAAACTATGTGGGAAAGGCGAACAAGTTAATTTAGTTTATTTGAGAGTCAATGCTTATGCTATCTTTGGAATTCTCGAGTTTGTTATTTAATTAGAATGATTAGAATGTTTTCAATAGTTCGTATGGTATTACTTGTAATTCATAAAAAGTATATATCAAATTGATTTGAGAAATGAAATTTTAACTTTTTAAAAATTGCACATATTGAAAATCTAGTAGCATTTCACGTGATAATCGACACGGCAAAAAAAGGGATAAAAAATATCCAGATTATCCGAATTATCAAACAATGTCACATAACATTAAAATTGTCGATGATAACAACTCTACTACTCCTGCAAAAGCCCGATGGAAATTACTTTCCTCTGTAATTTCTTCTCTTAATGCAGATTCTTTAGTGACTCTCAACAAATTCTCTAAGAGAAATCATCAGGGATTTGACCTGTTTCCGAAAACAAAACTTGATCAATCTCCTTTATCGTTAGATGATGTAAACAAAAAAGTCATTAATGTTACTTTGGAGAAAACCTTGACAAATTCCGAAATTTACACTGATAAAGATAAGCATACTCAAAAGGACCATTATGAATGGTATTCTTATGATTTAGGTGATAATGATTATATAAACGCTAGGTAAAAATAATTCCTACTGCATGAAATTTTTATATCATTTAAAAATTATTTTCAACCATTATTCAACCTCTTCTTTTTATTAGAATAAAATTTCCTTATTATTGTGATATGAAGAACAGTCTTTATTCTAAATATTCAGGGTTTTTATATACTGGCAATATCTGTGTTTGGCCTGCTGAAGAAGTTTTGGCTTATTATTCCATAAATAATTCACATCTTTTTAGGTATGAATTTTATGCCCAAATCTTATAATTTTACAAAGTATTGACAAGTAATAATTAGATTAATTTTATTAAGAAACAAAAATGTGTGCGAAATAGGTGGCGGCATGTGCGCATTAGCAGGTTTATTCGTTGCTACAAAGTGTCAACCATCAAGCGTTACCTTAACAGATGGTAACCCTGATTGTGTACAAAATATCCTTTTCTTATGTAAATTCTGAATTTATTAATAATTTTAATAACCAATATGCATTATATCTACCTTAATTAATATTTACATATCCAACATATTTTAAAAGCCAACTCTAAGCTGTCTTCAGCAAATTTGTGTGCCATGCAAATGATTTGGAACTGTAATACTCATTATGATAAAACGTACGACGTTGTTTTATGTGCAGATTGGTAATTCCTTTTTTCATGATTGATTTCTTGTGAAATTTTATTATTTTAATTATTTAATATTTTAAACTCTCTTAAATATTTAGTACTTTTGACAAACAAATTCATTTGCATCTATTGCATGTTATACGCTCTATCCTAAAAAAACCATCGAAAGATAATCCGGACGGAAGTTTATTTCTTCTCTGTGCACCACAACGTGGTGGTAGCTTACAAGAATTTATCTCTTTATTAGAAGCTCAAGGTGATTTTCACGTTAAATTGTTAGAAAGATATGATGACTGTGTGTGGGAAGTTCATCAACAAAGTATAACTGAAAATTCAGTGCATTATGTTCCTGATATTCATTATCCTTTAATTGTTCAAGCATATTGGCGAGTATAAAATTTACTATATCATTTATAAAACTATAAAACTTTATATTTTCTTAATATCCAAATGTAGAGACATTGTCAAATATTGTAATATATTGTATTTTATATTGCATTGAGTACTCATTATAATTACTATTTAACTGTTGCTATTATATTATATAACAAGTTTCTAAAAAAATATTATTATGATATTTATTGTTTAATTTGAGAAATTTATCTATACATATGCATTTATGAAAATTAGAATGTTCATAATTGTTACTAATGTTTCTAAATTCTTTTATTTATAAAGGTTAACTATTTGTTTCTCACAACATGAATTTTATAAAGTAACCCATACATCTGGCTTTTTTGTTTCTAAAAAACTACTGCTGGGTTATGATAACGGTTTTAGTTTTTAATTAGTTAATCACGAATTTGATTTATTATATCTTTAATATCTGAATTTGAGTCTAGAAACTTCTTTTGATAAATTATATCTAAACAAACCGAATGCTTTAACTGAATTATTAAACAGAATTATTTTGAGTAAAATTCGATCGTCTAGTAATAGTTCGTACGCGTAATAAATCGCAAGTGTCTTTGGACATAACATTAGAGATGCAAAACGGATCGACCAGCTTGTATAAGGCCAATTACAGAATCAGCCAGGGCGGCCCCACCGGCTCACATGTAAACAAAACTATATAGCATATTATGTAGTTTTTTTATTCATTCATCTAAAGTATCAAGAATGCCAGCAAAAAATATGGTCACCAATATTGTAAACTTTATAACTAGCTATACTACGCTATACTACGCGATTGAAATATTTCATAACGGCGTAGCATGTTCACTAATTATAGGATCACTATAGGAATTCTATAACGTTACAACATCTGTAACCATCGCAAGAAAAATTCTAAAGACATTGTATAACTTACCCTTCGCATTAAAAGTTTCCAGTTCTAAAACTATGGATTATTATTCTCTCCTCATCACCTGTAGGCAGGGTTGGCATTGAGTTCAATGGAGCCCAATGTAGTTGCGAATGGAACCGATGGAGCTTTGAATGGAGCCAATGGATACTAGTTTTTGAGCTCCATTCGCACAACCATTGAGCTCCATTGGCTCCATTGCCAACTTTGCCTGTAGGAATACAAATTAATGTTCTCTCGCATAAACTTATTATGTATAAAATATAAAGCTTATAAAATTAGGTATGATGAAATTTTAAAATTTTGAGTTCGTTATATCATATATAATTCATTATATATCCATAATAATATTCTAAGGCTAACATTAATACAGCATTAACTGCTTTTTTATAAAATGTATTATTAGATATATAATATTTATCAAATTCATACAGTACATACCTACATAGTAAAATTTGGTTAATTTTGGTTACCAAAAATCGTACGTATGACCTTATAATTTACTATAAAATGATCAACTTCGAAGATAACAATCAAATATCTGATAATGACACTCTCCTTTAATTCCTTAAACACATTAAATGGCATTTCTATAACACATTCTTTTTATCATCCATCGACAAGATTAATTCTCGCCTTAAAGACAAAAACTTTCACTGTATCATATCACTGTTTAAAAGTTTCAAACATCTTACAAAGCACGAAGAATGCGAATATCAACACTTTGAATTCACAAATAACCTCGGTGACTACTCCCGATTCATCAACAAATTCAACTACTACACCTAATTCACAAAATATTACATCATCAACCAAGATAATATTGAATTTTGAGGAGGATCGAACCGTAAAAAAAGATGAAAATTCTAGAAAGCCAGCATCGATAGATACTATAATAAAAAATTCATTTGTTAAAGAAAATGATGTCCCATGGACTGGAGAAGAAGATTTAAAAGATACAATTTTACGTATGATCGTTGACAAATATCCTCCATTGAAAGTCAAACGGGAATCTGTTAAAGATTATATGGATGCACATAGTTCCAAATCTCAACATAATAACTTGACTAATTTACCCAATTATTTAAGTAATCATTCAATAATAATAAAATCAAAAGGCAATGTGGATTCATCTGATAATAAGTTACAAAAAAAGAAGGAAAAACTCGAGAAAGTGCGAGAAAGGAATCAATCTCGCATAATAAATGCACGAGAAGCTGCAACTGACTATGCAATCGGTAAAAAATATGGTGATAATAATGAACAAAAAAAAGATATATTACCAAAAAGCATTGCGGCTTGGAATTCAATTGTTGAACAACGTATTCAAGAAGCGATTACAGAGGGTAAATTTAAGAATTTGCAGTATCACGGAAAACCATTACCCTTGGATGAGAACGAAAAGGTAGCTATGATTCAATTATTTATATTGGTAATATTGTGATTAATTTTATTATTTATACATCAATTCTAATTGTCACTATTATTGTTGAATTTAGAATCCATATCTGGACCGCACCGAATTCTTGATGTAGGTTAAAAAAAATGGTTGAATTATTTAAACTTTGTATGTCAAGAATTTGTCTTTGTAAAAAGAAATTCTTTATAAACTTTAAAAAACTCAATTATATTTATAGGAACAGACTTGTTCAGAAGCAAGGTGCTGCACCAGCATGGATAGAAAGTCAAAAAGATGTTGAGCGAGAAATATCATTGTTCCGACGAAGAATGTTAGAAAGTTGGTTACGTTATGCCAATTCTCACAAAATCTCTCTGCAACTTCGAAACGCAGGATGGGAAAAAATGCAATATTCTTTTTATGAGAAAGCTATCGGGAAATTGAACAGTAAATTGCGATCATATAATGTTATTGCACCATATGCAGTTCGAAAGTGTTATCTAAATTTGGATGATGAATATAAGAGAATGTATAAAAATGTTAAAAGAGAAGATACTAAAGGTATAAATATGATTAATGATGGAATGAGATTTGATGAATGGTTGAATGAAGATGAAGAAAAGAAAAATAAGAATGATGAGAACAATCTTTGGAAAGGGTTCACTAAAAATATTAAATGGTTAATTGGACGTTAAATATTTATTATTTACATAATACCGTGTAAAGCATAATTTTATAAATTTTTTTAAAATAGACCTGATAATTTAACTTTAATTTTTATTAATCTTATTTTTTAAAAAGCCCACTGTTATACGTACGTACATGTAATATATATATATATATATATCTCTTTGAGAAACCAACTGCAGCGACATGAAAATCAAAAAATATTATGTTAAAAATTATATTTGTATAGCCTTTTTTCATTGGACTATATAGATTTGTAAGCCTTTAATTTTAATTTTCCAATTGCAATAAATTAATTGTTAACCTGTATGGAGAATTTAAATTTATAAATTTAGTTTGTGTTTACGCGTTTATTAGAAATACGTATGTTCTTCATATCCAAACAATGAAACTAACGTGTGGTTGAGTTTAATACGAGAACACGAGAAGTATATAATAATACAAATTAAGAATAAAATTTTTAATATAACCTAACACGAGAAAAACCCTGATTTATGAAATTAATAATTCAATTAGTACGACGCTTACCATACTTCTATCAACTTCCATGTAGAGACTCAAAAATATAAATACGTATGAAATAACGACATGTACATAGGATTGTAAGTATATATTACAACTTAAATTAATAACTTACGTACATGATTTTGAAATTTTGACTAAGTGAACATATGAAAGTTGCATGACCTTGTCCATAAAAGCAACGTCCGATTTGTCGTAGAGGATACTTTTATTCTATTAATTTACAGCTCGAATTAAGCTTAATTTGGCCAAAATTTGAACTACACCCGAGCTGTTTAACTGATCTAGCGTTACCAACCTAAAAAATTTCGCTAAAAAAATTTCGTTGTTAGATTAAGGCTTAGGTTTTGCTATTAGTTTAGGTTAGAAAGAGCGCAGAAGGTGGTTTCATAGATAAAATGTTGAGTTATGGGCGATTTTTTTGGTTTGTTTTGGTTTTTTGCGTTTCTTCTGCGTCACGCAATCTGATTGGCCAGTGAAATTTTTTAGGTTGGTAATGCTAAGACAATTGAACAGTTTAGAGATTTCGCGATAAATGCAAAAAAAAGTAAATAACAGGGATTTATTGACAAACTGTACCGACTTCTGTTCATGGTCTTTAAATTTGAACTCATACTGACCTGATCAAAATTGTGTTAGGACAGGGTGAAACCTGTGTTGATTTTATTATCAGTGTGGATGAAATTCGCGTTTTTTATGCTACCTTTTGATGCAGACCTACAATTTGTATCAATAACATAACCACCCTCTGACGCGAGTTTCACCATGTCGTATTATGTTAATCGAATGCTTGATGCCCAGTGATGTAAATTGGATCCGTGCAGTAGGCGCAGCGCATATATATTTAAATTTGCGCATATATCAGCGCTCTTCATATATGGGCTGCCGTCAATAGAAATAAGGCAAATTAACATTTTAAAAAAATTTAAAGCCTTAACTTTCACAGCTCA